TTCAGAGACGACACTTCTGCCAAGACCAGCTTCTTCCAGCATTTAATTGAAGACCGAACAGAAGCAGCCCTGTCCTATTATGAGTTTTTGCTCCACGTTCAGCAGCAGTTGTCCAAGTAGATAACACACCCAACACTAGCTTATGCTGTAAAGGTAGTCATGTTTTACGATACCTGCAAAGTGGTAAATCTTTACAAGACCTCCACCTGACTTTGTGGGGTAGGTTCATGCAGAATGCAGGAATCCTAAGATAATTGTAAGATGATAATGATTGAGCCAGATATACATGACCTGAAACCAGTGAAGTATTTGATAATGAACACAGCAATTCTAAAGGAAAGGTGTCAACTTCAGACAAAATAGTACACCCAACAGGCTTGTTACGTGCTTCTTTTATAGAAAAAGAAGAACATGCATATTGTTTCATAGTTGCTAACCGCTGTCAGAATTATGTATGTAGCCATTCACTGAGACAGTCTATGTGGAATGTAAGCAGACATGAGTGCTACTTCATACATTTAATACAGAAACTATAGAAAAGGGGAGAGAAAAAGATATGCATGTTTTTTTTTGTTTAACCCATTTTTTAAAATCTCTTAAGTTTTCATATAAAAATGATAATCGCCTTCTCATTTTTACAAGAATTGTAGGAAATTGGAAACAAGTTTTGATGTATATTGTAAAGCCATGTGTGACATTTGTCTAATGGGAAGAAGCCTGGACTGTGCACTGGATTGACAAGGAAATCACTCAAAAGTAGTGACTTCCCTACATTGCAAAGCAGGTCCAGTTTGTGTCCGGATGAGACGTTAGTTTCTGTACAACTCACAGTTTGTTTTTCTGGCAATAACAGAAATTGTTCCTCTTTGTAATTCCCTTGCAAATATTTTATGTGAAATTATTTATGATCTGCTTATTGAATAAAACTATTTTGCTTGATACCATTTAGTTTTGCTTAATACCATTTAGATTTGTTTTAAGCCCTGCACTTTTCTTCTTCTGCATGACCTACCTTTTTGCAGTTTCAAATCTCTTCTTTTTTATAAGAACTTAAAAAAAAAAATAACATGATAAAATATATTAAAAATGTAATATAAATAACCACTTATTGTGTAATAGAATAATAACAATAATAACCACAATGCAATTATTGATGTTCTCTTGCTCCTTCTCTAATTTATACAGTGAATTCAAATGTCTTCCAAAGTTTGGATTGCATCTCCTCATATTCTTTGAAATTGTGTGGTTCTGCATCTTTTCAATTCTTAAAACCATAAATAACATTAACATTCTTGCAAACTTGGTGCAACAGATGTTACTTTAAAATTATAGCAGAGTATCATAATTCAACCTAATGGGTATCTCAAAGAATGATCATGCACTGTATATTGTAGTAAACGTAGTGATTGACTTAAAACAACAATTACAGTGGAGGATAGCCAACTGTCTAGTAGTCCTATACTATAAGAACTTTCCAGCATTTCTGGCGTTAGGTTCCAGCATTCTTAAAAGGAATCAATTAGTAAATCACTTTTTATTTTAAATTTAATCCGTACAGTATATCAGATTTTTTAACATCAATATGGTTGATTTTACCTCTAGTATAATACATTTGTGATTATAATACATTATTGATTTTGTATCTAATTAATAGTAATAATATGTCATACCCAGAATCTATGATTCTGCTACATTACTCCTTCCCAGATCTTCATTCCATTTAACCCATATATTTTTCAGCAGAGACTTTTTGAATAAGATTTTTGCAAAACTTTATATAACGTGCCTATAATTTTCAGTGTTATATGTTATTTTTTGGCAAAACTTAAAAAAACTAATTTAAATTCTTTTCTTCCAGTTGTGAGCTGTTCACTTTTTTTTGGTTTTACTTTTAGACATCAGCTTGTGCCGAAATTCTCTTCAAAACTGGACGCCCTGAATAAAGAGGACTGATAAAATTTGTAAAAGACTCCTATGCAGTGTTCTTTAAATTTTAAGTGATTAATTAGCATGGGCAGAATACTGTATACAAAAGTGGAATTTTACTTATTTATTCATCCAATTTCAGTCTCCTGCTGAGGGTCATGGCATTTTATTTATTCTTTTGTGATTATGAAAAAAACATGTGTTCATGCATTTGAACACCCTTTCAAACTCTTTATGAACGGACTGCATGGAAACATGACGGATTTCTTCAATAGTTCAAATCTTTTATTCAATGTACAGTTACATTTGGTGGGTGGCTGAGTCAGCATGCATAGGCTGCAAAGGAACAAGTAATAGGTTTATTCCATGCTGAAAAGAGAAGAAAGAAAACAAAGTTTCAGCCGTGGAGCCTTCTTCAGGTCTGAGTCTTCTTCACACCTGAAGAAGGCTCCACGGCCGACACGTTGTTTTCTTTCTTCTTTTCAGCATGGAATAAGCCTATTGTTCCATGTACGATTACATTCCACAATGCACAAATCCTACCTGAAGTTACAATAATTTTTACCCTCTCAGTGGGTAATAGAACCCCTTTTAAGAAAATGGCCTGTCATGCAGATGGCTCATGTTCAAAAAGTATTTTGCTAGTACACATCAAACTTTAGAAATAAGATTACAGTGTATTGCCAACAAGATAAATGTATTTGGCATATATTTTATGATATATAATGTACTGATTAAACCAGGGTGGCCACCTGATTATTTATTTTTCTTTGTTGTCAATATGCAGTCTAAAACTAACTTCTTGATAAACACTGATGTGTTTGTGTTCCTGCATATACTGGACCAAGATGGAAAGGTATTTTTTTAATCAAATATGCCTTTCTCTTGGGAACTGCTGCACCAATTGAATAGAAACTTTTAATATTCCACAGATAAAGCTGCTTCTGATTTTTTAATTTTAAATAAAATCAAAATAAATGATTATCCTGGGAACTGCTGCACTGATTGACATGAAACCTTGTAATTGTGATCACATTTAGATGTATCTGAGATTTGCACCTCACAGGTTGCAGCAATCATTTTTGTGCCCACACTGGATGACAGGTTCTTATCGAAACACAGTCCGTTACACAAGCTGTTTGACTAATTGATTAGATGTCGATAGATGTCTTTCTATTGGCAATACATTGCAAGTATGGTGAAATGGGGTTTATGCAC